ATTTTTTACCATTTTTTTTTATAAAAGGCTAGACGGAGAAATTATATTTTGTAGCAAATGGAAATCGCGCATATCTATAACAGCTACCAACTATGGGGTGTTTCCTCAGATCAAGCTCGATCTACGCTTTCCAGGAACCAACTTTCTCGTCGCATGGTCCGAAGGCGATTCTCGGAGCGAGAGTAGCCCGGTCAAGCCGGTTCGCCAATTTTGGATCAAAAGATTCTATCCTACGTGAAGTGTCGCCTTAACGGTAGACCGTAAAATTAAGGTCAATCTCCAATCACGAGTACGGAACGTTGAACAGATATGCTCACGAAACGTTACAATATCACAAAATGACAGAAAGAAATATCACAAGAAATGCATTTATGTATCATACAAATAAAAATCATTCTATTTGATTTTTTAATTTTATATATAAATATAATTTTATATATAAATATATAATTTTAATATAATTTATATATAATTTTATATATAAATTATCTATAAATTCTAAGTTAAAATAATTTTGAAATTACACTAAATAAATTTATACGCAATTTATATATGAAACAATTTAAATATAAAAATATTATAATAGAAAAAAAATAAAGTTTAGCTTACTCAAAGTGCTACTTTTGTCACGTTATTCACAATTCAGTTGTTGCAATAGCATAAAAACAATAGCATAATTACGCGCAATCACCACGTAATGAGATCCCGTGTTTATCGATGTAAATGATAGGAATACTAAATTGTGCAAGTAGAGAGCACTATTGATCACGAGAGAATCACGAATCGAACTGAGACTCTGGTGTAGTTACGTATAGAAACGCGCGAAAACTGTTAAGCTCTCTATCCCCATCCATGGCATCCTAACGCCAAGAATAAACCTGCAGACTCCCCACCACCATGAAAATCTCTTATATTGTGCTGCTTTCCATCCCTTTTCATGTGATGCAGCTTCCACGAATTTTGTTACATTTTGATCCAACGTGATGGATCTGATGCAATGAGACTTGCTTATTAATAAAATTATTATCATTTTTTAGTTTTCAATTATTCTATATTCTTATTTGTATATTTATATAAAATATTTAAATTTAGCTTTTGAACAAAGCATTTTCACTTTCAACGTAAATAAAACTTTCCTCTCAAATTTATCGACTTTTTTCAATTTAAACAGATCCATTTGTAATTAATCCGTTATACTTCGAAGTTTCTTAAACAGGTCAACCTAAGATCAAATGCACAGATTAAATTCGTACAAAATTACCCGGAAAGACGGAAGATTCATTACATTTCCGCCTCGCTTCGCGCGTCACCCGATCAAAGGAGTTCAAAAACTTTTCCCCGCTGACTCACATAACTCAGCGGATCGTTAAAGGAGATCATTCGTGCGAACGTGATGCCCTAGGAAACTTATATTCTGTTACGTGGATGCAATGTGTGGACATTGCGATGCTTCCGTCGGGCATCTCGTCTCGATGAAAGTTCGTTCACTTGCCAATTCAGCGGGAAGAGACTGTCTTCGTGCCGATAAACGTTGTCTCACGACGTGGAAATACGTCCTCCGTTAATTCTTTGCTTTCATCCGACAGCAAAGAAAATCGCAAATGCAGACTCGCATTAAATCATTAGGCAAAGTAGCGGCGCAAATCGAAGGCTTGAACGTCAATTGATGCGGGCGCGCCCGTCGGCGACAAATCGTTTCGATACTTGACGGCAGGACTGGAACGATTTAAGTGTGATTTAGAACGTCTGAACTCAATACGGGGACAATTAAGGGGGACAGCTTGGGAAACCGCGTGTTGCCTGTTGAGATAGTTTAGAAGTTGCAAGTGTGATCGAATTCCCTTCACGTCCCCTTAACGTGGTTGTACATTGGCGCGGAAATAAAATCTTGATTAAAAAATTTTATGATCCAATTAGTATGTACGTTCTGTCCGTATATTTAAGAGATCAGCTTTAATTTTTAATTAATATCCAAATATATTCATCAATCTTCGTACAAAGTTCGATGAGGATAAATCGGTACGGTAATCCAGGCATCGAGTTATGTGGAAGGATCTCGATAATCGATCGCGTTCTGATAACGACAGGGTGCCCGATCTCTTTCACTCGCGGGGCTGTCGAGAGGTGGAATTGATTTCAGTTTGGTCACACCCTTCAATCGGCAAACGGGAGGGAGGTGGATATCCGGCAGATGGGTCACCGCCGGTATTGCGGTTAAACTACCGGCATTCAATCTGCTCAACCTATCCACTGATCTATTTCTCTTCCTTCGGCCACAGGATTACGCTGCCTACGGGCACCATCTTTCTTTCCGGTTTCATCCGCCGTTACTCTTCGTCTCATAACAAACGGCGTCGATTTAGCATTGCGCGCAATTTGGGTCACAGCTTCATTGGAACCCACCGGCCGATCGCTAACGAAACGAATTGACTCCGGGAGCGTTGGTTGTCTCGCGTTGCCGGCGCGTGCTTTTGGAGGAATCATGGCGATGACGCAATTGTCTCGATTAAAGTAGCATATCGAGCAGAACAAATCGCTACATTGGATCTTATTGTGAGCCCTTACTAAGCATGGATAAAGTCGTATAACGAATGCGAATCTTCTATTTAAAAATGAGAATTTAACAAATGTATTCGTATGTAATTGAACGCATTTGTTAGCATTATTTATTGATCTAATCTTTAAGAATAGATGATATGATCTAAAGAGAGAAATTAAAAAGAATATTACAATTTTCCTGTGATCCTTATTCTTATTGTTTTAACAAATATTTTTTATCTTTATATAGTTCGGATTGTTATGTATATTTTGTATGTGATATTCTCAATGAATTTAGAAAATATATATTTCATATCGGGAATATTCATCGTGGCAACCATTTTACTCATCTCATCAAAAAGTCATGTTGGGGCACTAGAGAAAAGTGAAGATGTAAATAGGTAGCGATGGGGTAGAAACGCTATACTCGGAAGCGGCTAACGCGATGGACCTTGCCCATCGGGCCGACCTTTGATCTATTTCCAACCGTGGAAATCGCCTTCGTCGCGATAAGCCGCCATTTTCCCTCCACTTGGCAGAACATATTTCCGGCGGCATTAGTCAGCCGTTCTAAATGCATTATACTGACTGCTGCTCTTTCGTCTAGCTCGCTCTCTCCCTCCCTTGCTGCAAACGTCGGCCAAGTTGTATTTCTGACTAATTCTCGCTATCAGATCGAGGTTAATTAGGTGCTATTATGACGAAAATTAGTGCGTATTAGTTGACGACGATGAGTTTTCCTGGCATTGATCGCAAGTCGTGACTTTCACGGTATCGATAAATTAATCGACAAGTTCATACGAGCAAATTTATAGAAAGAGTGACCAGCTATCAAGAATCTCGTTGTAAACAAGAAAATTTGTCGAAATAATATTTTCGAGAAATATTTCTTGAAAATTTGTTTCTACTACAATATCATATCGTTTACGTAAATATTCATTTATATTATATATTTTATGAGAGCTTTAGAAGCAAAACGTGATAAACGACGTTAATATAAACGTCAGCAATGTTATTTCATATTCACGAAGTGTCATTTATTATATTATACATCCGTTGCCAAATATTTTATTGGTACAGTAACATCTAGAAATTAAGCTTTATATTTGAAATTTTCATATTAGAAATTTTATTTAATGTAATTTTGATCGTGGAAAGTCAGTGTTTATTTAGTAAAAAATTTGTAAAATAATTTATTGTAATTAGATATGTATAATAAAATCATCAAAATAATTGAATTTAATAATTTTAAAAAATTATATTATGTTCTGGAGTAACAAATAAATTATGTCGTTTTTTATCATCGCGATCAAAGATCATAAAAATATGAAAAAATTCGAACTCACCGTCGTCGCTGATTTCGAGATTCGTGTAGCTGTCCCAATGTAGGATGGGATCGTGATGCGCTGATGCATGCGGCACGGCGGGTGTCGGCGCTGGAACTGGGCCGTCCTGACGTTTCGCGTCGGTGGCGAAGTAAAGTGTCACCACACTGTCAGGCGGGCATCGAGGATCATCGCAGGCAACGTCGAGCTCCGATCGCGGGAAGGACACGACGTTCTCCGTAATTACACACGTGTGAAACTATGGAAACAATGGTCGATATGAGAACGTGCGACGTAATCTCTGATTAGCACAAATAAATTCATCTTTCATAACTATATTACGTACTAATGTCCTCGTAGTAAAAATATTTTTAAATTAGTAAATTCTCCGGGAAATTTCCAACTAATTTATTCTTTATAATGATTTAGTAAAAATTTAAAAAGTGAATTTACAAAGTTCTTAAAAATTAATGTGATTTCTGACATATGTATAGATTGCTGGTCAGTTTGCATAATACCGAATCAATTTATTATCGATGAAGTATAACCTTTGTTCTACATAAATCTTGCAATCAAATAAAACGTGACGTAACATATCGTGATTAATGTATGTTTTTCATAGAATTTTTATGTATCTGTTTTTTTCCGCACTACAAGATAAAGTGTATCTAGTTATTAACTGATCATTTACAGTGCTCTCAAAGGATGTTATTTATCCTTACTGGGCATAAAGTTAAACGTAAACGTTTGTCGCCTTTTTCCCCGAACGCATAGATCTACTTCGCCGTCCTTGTATCTATTTACAAATCGCTCTACATAAAAGTATATCATTTATGTCTTTGATTTCACATCGAGTCATTTGCGTGCTATAACGCATTTATCATAAATGCACCATCTATAATGTATTTACAATATATATAAACATAAATGAATGTTAAAGAAAAAAAATTGAACCTATTCGATATATATTTTAACATTATATAATTTTATAAAAATAAATGAACCAGAATAAATTATACTATGATGAAATTAAATAATAAAAATTTTATAATTAAGACTAACTTTAATATTAAAAATATATTATTATGTGTATGAAAGATCCGTTATGTAAAATGCATTCTTACCTGAAGGGAAAACATAACTTCTCGAGTTTGCTTTGAGTATACCCTATGGTAACACTTGACCAAGATATCACCCCTCAGTCGAAGCCCGCCAAGATTAACAGTAAATTCACGCGCATTCGTCACCGAGTAGAGATCCGAAGTGTAAACCGGTGTAAGTCCTTCGTATACTTTAAGAAAGGCTCGACAGCCCGTCGGCTCAAAGAGCGGCACTCCGAGAACTGTCAGGTGGGTCAGGTACAATGGCGACTGGCTGATCCTTAGAGAGCCTGACAACAGTCCGCTAAAGTACTCGATGTATCTGGAATCGAAGATCAGTATTATG